TCGTAATGGAAATAGGTGATGCTGCGTCATGCTGTTTTGCTGTGTCTGTGTCTCGGTCTCCTCCGACTGATCGAACGGCCTGGTGGGTAGAAGAAAACAAACGGAGGGCGCGATTGACCAGTGAACCGCATATTCAACAAGACCGGCCGGAATGAGACAACACACACAGTTGAGCTTGAGGCATATCAGCAGGCGACGCCGCGACGTACGGAGACCCTGCTAGCTTGAAGCAACAGCACCCGCACCCACGCGGCGGCAGCACGCACCAGCCAATGCAAGCAAGCAGGCGGCCAGTGACCGGGGCGGGCCCACCTGGCAGAGGACCAGAGAAAGAGACGCTGCACTGTAGGTCGCGATGCCAAGTGTGCACTGTGCAGTGCAGCTGTGCAGAGACGGTCCTAGTCGTGGCATAGCAATAGCATAGCATCAACTGGTCCACATGCCTGGTGGTGGTAGTAGTACGTAGCTACAGCAGGCACAGGCAGGCAGTAGGACCTGCCGACCTGGGGCCTCTCCACTGTACATGGGTCACATTTGAAGGACGGACAGGTAGTCTCCATGCATTCAGCTACCACCGCTGCTTTCTCAGTCTCAGGAAGTCAGTATCTCAGGCCTTTTTCAGTTCCCTTCAAAGTCAGTATCTCACTCTTTTTCCATCATATCAAAGTTTTGGGCATTAAATGTAGGAAGTTGGAAATCACGAGATGAATCTTTTGAGCCTAGTTGGTCCACGATTGGACAAAGTTTGCCAAATTTGTACTATTACAGTTTGAATTTTTTTCAAGTAAAAGCCTCAAATTTATGTCAAGTTTTGGGTGAAGTAAACTAAGGGGGTGTTTGATAAGGATGTTCTTCCTCATAGATACTATTCATCAATCAGCCGCTACAGTATTTCTCTCTCACACAACCATCCACTATAGTGTTTTGGTTTCTTTTTTTTAGACAAGCGAACGGGGCCACAGTGAGTAAAGTTTAGCAGTTGTCACGTGAGGATGTCGCATAGGATGTTCGGATACTAATAAAAAAATAAATTATATAATCCGTTAGTAATCCGCAAGACGAATTTATTAAGCATAATTAATCCATCATTAGCACATGTTTATTGTAGCATCACATTGTCAATTCATGGACTAATTATGTTTAAAAAATTTGTCTCGCAAAACAGTCTCAATCTGTACATTTAGTTTTATAATTAATCTATTTTTAATACTCCATGCATGTGTCCAAATATCCGATGGGACAACAACTAAAGTTTAGGAGGTGAATCCAAGCACCCCCTAATTAGGGCATGTTTGGTACAGCTCAGCTTCACCTGTGAAGTTATTTTTTTTTTAGAAAATAGCTTCACAAGCAACTTTTTTAGTGAAGCTGAGCTATTTTAGAATAAGTGTTTGGCAAAATCAGCTTCACTTGAGAGAAAAAAAAGATAAAAAGACTCCAATGCCCTTATCTTTTTCTCTTTTCCCCCTCTCCTTCCACCTTTCTTCCTCGACTGCGCAATGTCTCGCCCCGCATCCCTGCTGTTGGGACATGTCATATTCGTATGGACCAAGTCCTCTAGAAGAGGCCCAACTAACGTCATTGGAGTGGCATGTAAAACCCACCCCCACCGAGGGGTCACTTATAAATTTCCGCTTGCCTATATAATGCCAAGAACCTGAGGGGAGGGGGGCTCTCCCTTCCAACTCTGGTTTACAAACCCTAGCCGCCTCTTTCCACTCTCCTCTCCTAAACATGTTCGGGAACCGTTTTCCCAACACCCGCGGCTGCGCCTTGCCACGCGTCGGCGAATGCGACCAGACCCACGCCGGCAGCCGCGCCTTGCTCCACGTCGGCGGACGCACCAAGACCCACGCTGTGGCCACGCCCGGTCCCGCGGCCGCGCCCAGCGAACGCGCTCGATCCCATGCCGGCGGCCGCGCCAGCCCCATGCCGACGGCCGCTCCCTCGCCCCGCGTCCCCACGACCGTGCCCTTGCTCCCCGGCTGTGGCCGCACCACGCCTCCTCGGCGAGCAGCGCTCCGGCACCATGGTGGGCTACGCATGCCGCGCCCCGACGTGCCTCCATCCCGCAGAGGCGCGCGCTCTCTCTCTCTCTCTCTGTGCACTGGGCAGCAGGAGTCTTTTTTTGCACAGTGGGCTCCACATGTGGGAGATGAAGCTAGAATAAGCTACTATTTTTAGTTTTATATCAACTTATGTCTTTGTGAGAGGAGAAAAATAGTTTTACCTATAAAGCTATTTTAAAAATGAGTTTGGCAAAAAAAAAAACAGCTCACAACGCGACACGAAACAGGCCCCTAAACTAGCCAGAAGCAGATCGATTATGAGCTTCCACGCACAATTTAATTAGACCAGATTGTTTTGGAGCTAGCCTAGCGTGATCATCCAAGCCGAGCATGCATGCATGCATCTCAAATTTAAACGTGCGCACGTCCGTGGTCGCTCCAGATGCCTCCACCTTCCCTACTATAGAAATGATTTGTGACAACGCCTCTTTTTTTTTTCTAGAGGCGGCTCTATATTGAGCCGCCTCTATAAATAGTTATCAAATAAGTCATCCTTACAAATAGATTTATAGGGATGGCTGGTGTTATCAGCCACCCTACAAATGACCTAATTTGTAGGAGCGGTTCTATATCCAGCCGCTCTTATAAATCGGATTTGTAGATGCGGCTCAATATTGAACTGCTCTTACAAATAGACGCCGATTATTAAAAATTAAGCACTAAAATTTAAATTTTGTAAACAACTTTGGATGGAGAAACAACCAAAATGAAAGTTGTAGATCTCGAAAAGTTATTAAACTTTGTAGTTGACAACTTTTTGATTTGAAATCATTTGGTTAAGGAAAACTACGCTTGAATTTTCAAAAAATTAAAATTTTAATTTTTTAAATGATCTCGGATGGACAAACAGTAAAAATAAAAGTTGTAGATCTTGAAAAGTTATGAAACTTTATAGTTGATAACTTTCTCATTTGAAATCATTTTGTCATGGAAAACTACGTTCGAATTTTTTAAATTTGAAATTCAAATTTTATAAGTGACCTCGGATGGAGAAACTATCAAAATGAAAGTTGTAGATCTCGAAAAGTTCTAAACTTTATAGTTGACAACTTTTTTATTTGAAGTAGTTTAGGGCCTCAAACAATCAATTTATGCTCAGTTTTATATAATATGTGAGGAACCAAAATGGATTGTAGACATAAGTGATCCGTGAGGTGCAGTGATAGAGGAGTTTGCATGCGAGGGAGAAGTTGTGCGTTCGAAACCCGGCCGACGTAAAGTGTGCAAAAATCGTGGGTGTGTGGCTGTTGGTGGGGACCTCCTTGGATTAAAAAAATTGCTATTTTTTTGTCTTTTTTTATGAATTTTGAAAATTCTCCTACAAATTGATCAATTTATAGGAGCGGCTGGCCAACCGCCCCTTCAAACCAGTGGTCTGTAGTCACGATTTAATAGAGACGGCTGCTAGAACTGATGCTACGGACCATCTGGAGCCGCCGCTGCAAATACAATCCGGCGTAGTGCTTGAGCATGACCTGTATACTGTCTAAAGTCTGCAGAGCTAGAGCTGCCAATACTGTTTGAAGATCCATTCAGTTCAGACCGGCCTCCACTCCTCCCAAACCTTCTTATTAGATGCTGCCGTCTTTTTCTTTGTTTTTTTTTTTGTTTCTGTCGCGATGTGTTCTTGCATGCATCAGCAGCATGGATAAGAATGGTCATCCTAATAACAAGACCAACTAACAACGACTTTCTTGACTCCTTCCCAGCAACTTTTTTTGTTTATAGCCCAACCAACTTCTAAAACAGATGCTACGCTACGCAGGATTATTGGTCCTAGCAGTACTACTAGTAAGCAGCACAGAAACAAATATGTCATGGCGATTAGCTAGCTAGTGAGATTTATTTGCGGAGCCCCAGTGCAGATCAACGACCGGACTTTTGGACCATCCGCCCGTTCATACGGCGGCTCACCTGATGCAGCAGACATCGGCCAAGACAAGCAGGAAGCTGGGCCAGCCAAAAAGTGTGTCAAACCTACTAATAACTAAAAAAGCCAAGTGACGTAGCATGTTGACGGAGACAGTGAGACACTAGTCATTTTGGTTTTCTAATTAATATTTTAAGACCAATTTGATGTTGTAGATGCTAGAGATTTTAACTAAACGTTGAAGGCTCCATTTGTCACAGCTCCGCTTCACTGGTGAAGCATTTTTTTAGCTTTTAACTTCATGAGTAACTCTACCGGTATGGCTAAAGCTGTGCCAATGCAAATAGGGCCCAAGAAAAAACAAAAGTGAGAGAGTAATAGATCAGTACTTGTAACTTTGTGATAGCTTGCAGTTTAAGCCCAATTTGGATACACAGTATTTTTGGAGTTTTAGAAAAAATACCAGGTTTATGAAATATTATGGTTTCATAGTGTTATAAAGTATTTGGATGCAACAAACCCTATAGTTTTGAATACCATAGTTTTTCTACAATCTTTTGGAGTTTTTAAAATTCCATTCTAGATGTATTCTTTCTAAAAACCACTTTTGCACATCAATAATTCTAAAACTGTTATTTTTTTAATACAACAACAACCAAACAAGGCCATAGAATGAGATCCATCTTATGATCACCATAACATAGATGTGGAGAATTTTGATTTACTGATAAGTTAGGGGGAAATGCCATTTATTGCCCTACGAGGAAGCAGCAGTTGAAAAAGGAGGAGTAAAAAAAATACGGAAACAAAACTTTATGCACACTTCCATCGTGACCTTGAGGACTGAGGCTCCACAGTCCACACACCACACTCACTCTCACACTCTATAAAACCTCCCACGCCCACTTCCCAAAAGCAACCTCCGCCTCCGCAGTCCGCTCCGCTCGGCGCCACCACCACCTTTCCGCGCGCGCGCGAGCCCCACGCGCGACACGACCGCGCGCACTGCGAACGCCCGCACGAGAAGCAAGCAACCGCCGCTCTCCTCCCTCCCGGCTCCCATGACCGACGCGGGCGCCGCCAGGCCCAGGAGGGCGGCCAGCGGCGGCGGCGGGGGCGGGGACCTCCCGCTCCGGCCGCCGGAGCCGCCGCGGGACCCGCTGGAGTTCCTGTCCCGCTCCTGGAGCGCGTCCGCGGCCGACGTCTCCCGCGCGCTCGCCGCCGCGCCCGCGCCTGCAGTGGCCGCCATCTCCGAGGACGTCGCCGCGGAGCTCGACGCCGACTCCGCCGCCGGCGCCGGCGGGCCGCCGGCCTCCGGGACCTCCTTCTCCTTCGCGTCCGCGGCCACCTCGCAGCTCGTCTTGGACCGGATCATGGCGCCGTCGGTGCGTGCCTTCTCCGCCACTTTTTCCTCATTCTTTTAATAAACGAACAAAAATCCGGTCTTTTTTATATACAGAAATAAATTCAAGGCAGGCAGTGTTCTTCTTTGAAGCCACTTTGTCTATCTATTTCTATTCTGGTTGGCGCGATTCTGTCTTCTCGTCCTGAATGTTTGTTCCATTTCGCACTAGCGAGCCGTACTTCTTCTGGTCCGGAATGTTTGTTCCATTTCGCATCCCCCCTGTTGCTGCTCCCTCTTTTTAATTGAAATTTAATGCCACTATCAGATGTCTGACTTTGCCTGTACTCCTGGAAGAGTCAGGTGAGGACAACAAGAACCAGACAAAAACTCACCATTTTTTTCTCCTCCTTCTCCACGAACAAACCGAAAACAGAAAGAACTGACAAACGTTTGATGTTCATGTTCAACTCCTGTTGCACGATCGATTCTTGTTTCCGACGACGACTGGTGTGCTGAATTTGAGGCTGACTAATTTTCTTGCTTCGCTTGGCTGAACCTGAACGTAGGAAGTGTCGCCGCTGACCTCCGGCCGGCTCTCCCACAGCAGCGGGCCTCTCAACGGCGGCGGGTCGCTCTCCGACAGCCCACCCGTCTCGCCTGAGATCGACGACACCAAGGTATCTCTTCTTCTCCGCCCCTGCACCACTAGCACGACCATTCTAATTCTTGGTTGTTACCTATAACTAATACCCAATTAGTTCTAGGAACCTGAATGGACGTGTTTGTTTCAGTTTAATATGAGACATTTGGTGTCACGAGACAAGGCACATGGTTTTAATAGTAGCAGCACTTTACCTGATTATTGTTAATTGCTGCTTCCTCTGTGTGTTAGGCACTGCACTTTTTGTTTGGTACTTCTGCTAGCTTGGTCAGCTGGGTTCAGATATCCTGCATGCCTGCATCTTTTCTTTTTTTTTTTTGAGATGCTGCATGCCTGTATCAGTCTGATCGCTTCCTGGTTTTCTCAACCACGCAGTCTGTAGGTGCTGGTCATCTGGCTGATGTTTCCTCTGTTTGATGCTCTGTTTGCCTTAGGAAACACAGCACTTGTTTGTTTGCTTCTCTGGTTGTGCATTTGTGCAAGAAACTTGGTCAAAGACAGGTTTAGCAAAGTTGTAGATACAACAAGGATTATTAGCATAGAGTCCCTTGTGCAGCTGTGCTGGTAATTACCACGTACTGTAGGAGTATGTTCCTAGCATATTCAGCTTAGCAAATGCAGCTAGCTGGAGCAGAAGCACCGGCCTACAATGCCGATGCAGGCTCTGCAGCTTTTTTTCCCTTTCACAAAAATTCCTACACAGTGGAGGGATAACAATCAAAGGTTGAAAAGAGGAAGAACTTGGAGTCATGGACAATGCCCTTTCTCTCCATCCGATGAAACACACTTTACTTCCAATCCATGTCTCCGCGAGTTTCACAGATTTGGGCAAAGTGGCTGCATGTCAAAATCATTGGGCTATGCATTGGGGTAGAATTTACAGACAAGACATGTACAGTATATATTCGAATCCATGCCTTTTGCCTTCCCTCTAGCATTTTCCATGCCCCAAATGCAAATTGTGGGTGAGGCCTTGCATTCTTGTGGCTGTAAAACCTGTGCAAACCAAACCATTTCACCTTCTCATTCCATGCTTGCTTGCTTCTTGCTTCTTGCTCAGGCATGCCGTTGCCTTTCCGCCTTTGCTGCATTTCTCTCTTTGCCACTGCTGCAGCTGTTGCTTGTAGGAGTAGCGTGTGTGGGCACCTGTATGCAGTGTGCTCTCACAACAAATGATGGCTCATTTCCATCCACTTTTTGTGGTTCGTAGGCGTGTGTTACCTTACCTTTCCTTTCCTACCCGTGCTAGTCTTTGTGTGCAGCTCATCAACGACCCACGCAGCTTAAAGAACTGATGCGAAACAAAACAAGCACTAGGGTTATGAAATGAATTGGCAGCTTGGAGTAGAATAGAGTCTCCTTTTTGTTCAGACTTTAGACATGCCTGCCGGCCTGGGTCTTAGACTTTTATCATTGACCATTGATTACCAGCAGTCAAGAGTTTTGCGTTGGCCTCACTAGAGAGCAGGTACTGAAACCTCATGGCGTCAAGCATGACTGCATGAGTTCATGGTCAAACGATACGGTCGGTCCCGCGTAGTATGTGTGACAGCTTGTAGTGTATTGTAGTGTAGTGTAACCACATGATCCTCTGCCTCAATCTGCTCTGCTGCCGTGTCCATTTGAAACTGAAGAGAGCCAGGCTGTGGACTGATCCCGGCCACTACAGTGACCGGCAACGCTCCCATTTCCTTCTGTGCTGTGCTGGTGTGGTGTGGTGTGGTCCGAGTATGTACAACAGTGGAAGTGGATGTGGTGTTGCCCTCTGAACTGTATCTGACCATGGTCCATGGTGGTGGTGGGGTGCGATCTGCGTTCTGCGATGCGATGTGATGGTCTTTGGTGAACTGAAGAAGCTCCAGCCTCCACGCTGCTGACCTGCTGCCCTGCCAGTCTGCCACTCCAGCAGCAGCAGCCCTGCAGCTGCAAGGCTGCGAGAGCTGCAGCTCTGTCCTGCCAGTCCCGGTCTCCTCGTCCCACGAGCCGGTTCGATTGCTCGTAAATGATCGTAAATTTTCAGCTGGAAACAATGTTTTTCTCTCACATCAAATCAGTGAACAGAAAATAATCCACGATACATACAGCAGCAGCAGCCAGCATCAAACACTGGGGCACTGAGCTCCTCGCCTCCTCACTCCCCGGCTGGGTAGGTACTAGGAGTACTCCTAGCTTGAAGATAGAAAGAGGCTTGCAGTTGCAGGCCAGGCCTATGCAGTTCTTGCCTCATCACTTTGGCCTTTAGCACTTGTTTAGTTGGGTGAATTTGGATTTTGGGGTTACTGTTGCACGTTCGTTTTTATTTGGCAAATAGTGTTCAAACATTGACTAATTATGTTCAAAATGTTGGTGGGAAATTGCAATTTAACGTTTTAAACCTAATTAGTTTTTATGTTTGGACACTTTAATTTGTCAAATAAAACATTCGAAGGTGCTATCAGTAGCAACTTTTTGAAACTTTTTGAACTTTGAGGTCCAACTAAACAAGGCGTTAGTTAAATGCTCCCTTTTCGCGCCTGTCATGGGCATCCTTCTTACCCCTAATCAAGTGTCACCCCTGTCTGCTCCGAGGCTAATCCTGCGTCGTCTAATCTAATAAAATTGCTGACGCCTGGTACCTGTCTCCCCTCATGACTGTGCCATGTGTTGCTCCAATCCTGATCACACAGAGTGGTCAGGTCACTGGCGCATGCGTTGCGTTGCGTTGGACAGACAAACACTGACACACCATGGCCATGGCGCATTGGCACGCCTCGGGATTCCATCAGTGTGCCCCTAGCAAGCCTAGATTAACGTCATGGAAACACAATCATATGCAGTGGTCAGGTAAAGTTTGGCCACGCTGTTGTTGCGGTTATCTACTGCTACTGCTTGTGTACGTGTTGAGTGTACTAGCCGGTATCACTTGGCTTGTTGAGTTGTTGTTTGGATGAATCCTGTCAACTCATGATCTATTTAAAGTTTTTAAATACTCATGATCAATGTTCTGCAGCATAACTATATGCAATGGTCCATTTAGGGTTCAGTTCACCTTAAAACGTACTACCTCCGTCCCAAAAAGAATGCAACTATAGGTTACGTGCCACGTAAATTAGTTCACGTTTAATCAAGTTTTTAATAAATTGTATTCACATTTATCACTCTAAATTAATTTATTATGAAAATACATTTAGTACTTAATCTAATGGTATTTATTTGACATTATAAATATTGATACTTTTTATTTATAATTGGTCAAACTTAAGGTACTAGAACGTGACACTGCGTTAGAATTGCATTCTTTCTGGGACGGTTGGAGTATGTAGCATAAAACTACTATTTGCAGAATGGTATTTCAGTTTACGTGTCACAATCACTTCGAAGTTTTGTCGTAATTTTTGGATGAGCAGGAGCAATTGTCAAATCCTTTGCAAGAATTTTTAGATTTACTGCCTGTCTGAGTGTAGAGATGACTAGGATTATATTATTTGGATGAATCCTGTGAAGTGTGAACTCATGCTCTATTCATTAATCCTATAGCTTAACTATCTGCGATGGTTCGTTACTCATTAGTTAATCAAGACGTTAACAATTCAGTTCATTTGCCTAACTGTAGCGTTTTTTGCAGAGCAAGTAGGATAACTTGAGCATGGGGGACTGTCAACGGGGAAAAAATCCATCTTTGTAACTGAACGATTGCCGTTGTTGTTGGTGGTGAAAAATTCTTTGCAGTTCTGCAGAGCGGTGAGCACGCCGAAGCCGCAGCCGTACGCCCGCGGCGGGAGCAAGACGGTGGGGCGGTGGCTCAAGGACCGCAAGGAGAAGAGGAAGGAGGAGACGCGGGCGCACAACGCGCAGGTGCACGCCGCCGTGTCCGTGGCGGCCGTGGCCGCGGCCGTCGCCGCCGTGGCGGCCGCCACCGCCGCGGCCTCGTCGTCGGGCAAGGACGGCCGCGGCGCGCGCACGGACATGGCGGTGGCGTCGGCCGCGACGCTGGTGGCAGCGCAGTGCGTGGAGGCCGCGGAGGCCCTGGGCGCCGACCGCGAGCACCTGGCGGCCGCCGTGGGGTCGGCGGTTAACGTCAGGACCCCCGGCGACGTCGCTACCATCACGGCTGCCGCCGCCACAGGTTCGGCACTGCAAACCGAGCCCGCACAGCGTTCCGATCGATCTCTGGCGGGGAATCGAACATCAGAGTGACGCGACCGCATGGCGGCGTTTGCTTGGTCTTTTTCTTTGGCAGCGCTGCGCGGCGCGGCGACGCTCAGGGCCAGGGCGCTGAAGGAGGTGTGTAACGTCGCGGCGGTGATCCCCGTGGAGAAGGGCGCGGTGGGCGGAGGTGGTGGGCAGTATCTCCAGCACGGCGGCCACAAGCACGACGGCCAGCCGAAGCAGCAGCAGCAGAGGGAGGTGGAGAGCAGCAACAGCAGCAGCTGCTGCTTCAGCGACGAGCTGGTGCTGGGCGAGGAGAACAACTTCCTGGGCATCTGCACGCAGGACCTGCTCGCGCGCGGCACCGAGCTCCTCAAGCGCACCCGCAAAGGTACCCCTGTCACTCTGTGCTCGTGTGCAGTTTCCATTGACGAACGAACCTTGGCGTCGCGCTCGCGCAACGTTTCTGATGAGGATGCTGGTCTGGTCGTGTCTGTACAGGATCGTTGCATTGGAAGGTTGTCTCTGTGTACATCAACCGGGCGGGCCTGGTACGAATCGAACCAAATCGAATCTCGTGTTCTTCAGCTGCAACTCATTCTTTTAGCATCGCCCAATCGAGTCTCACGTCCTTCAGTATCAGTCGCAACTCATCTTTCGAGCATCGCCAAACTGAATTGGGTCCCCGCCCGCCATTTCTGCAGGTGATGCTGAAGATGAAGAGCAAGCATGTCGGTGGCACCATCACGAAGAAGAAGAAGAGTAAGTGTGCAAGCTGTTGCAAACCGTCCGTACAGCTACAAGTTGTAGGCGTGGTGAACGCTAACGCAGCTGGCTGAGTGCATTGCATGCAGGCGTGGTGGTGGACGTGTGCCGGGACGTGGCGGCGTGGCCGGGGCGGCACCTGCTGGAGGGCGGCGAGCAGCGGCGCTACTTCGGGCTGCGCACGGCGGAGCAGCGGGTGATCGAGTTCGAGTGCGGCAGCCAGCGGGAGTACGAGATGTGGACCAAGGGCGTCGCGCGCCTCCTCGCCATCGTCCACGCCCAGAAGCGCTGACCGCTGAGTGTCAGACACCGACAGTAGAGATGTAGCTAAAGCTTTAGGCAGGGCGTGTGTCGCGGCTGCTGTAAGAGCATGCATGCAGAGATGATGTCGTGTCATGTGTGTGATCGATGGCGTCCCATCCTCATGGTGATTGGTGATTATCACTTTATCAGTGACAGTGACAAGAGGAATGTTACCTGTTCATCTCATTTGTTGCTGCCTCTAGTTAGCCCTTGTTTAGGCCCGGTTTAGTTCCACCCTAAAATGCCAATTTTTTTTTGGCATTTATAAATAAAAAATAAAACTAATTATAGCCCAGAGACGAATCTTTTGCTAATTGTGATTGGACACTATTTTGTCAAATAACAACGAAAATGTTATAGTAGGATTTCGCCAAAAAATTAGCATCAAACGGTTTAGTTCTCCCAAACACCCAATTTGGGTACTATGATTCAATTTAGTTTCAAACTTGCGGTACATGCTGGAACACTAAAAGTACGAAATTAAAAACTAATTGCACAATGTGTTTATGTAGATTTAACGTAAGATTTAGATGGTTGATGGTTATACCAAATACAAACGAAAAAATTTTTTGGAATCTAAACAGGGCCTTAATTAAAATAGCTGAACTGAATGTTCAGTTCCCATCGTTGTACAGGAAGATAGCTAAGCTGCGGTCCTGTTGCGCTGCTTTTGTTATGTGGCGTTTGCACTAATTTAGTCCTGCTTGGCACTGTGTGTTCATCCCTGTTTTGCTCTAACGAATTCTTGGAAAGAAGAGCAATGCTGGCTTGGTCGACAAATTCATTTATCCACGCATCCAACTCAAACCATGCAATCTCCTCCCTGCATCCAGCAAGCTTGACGAATGACGATGGTAGCATGGATGTTCAGGACTCGTCTGTCTAAAGTTCCAGACTGCAACTTGACTTTGTCTCTCACAGCTTCATCAATTGTTGATGATGGGTCACTGCGACGGTGTCCCGGAAGCAAGTTCTCGACATCTTATTAAGCTCTGAAGAACAAAAGGCGTTCACAGGTCATAACATGATTGTGCAAAAGTAGAGTACATTTGGAATGTAAAGTCATGGTGTCCTCTGGGTGACGTTGATAGCCGTCCCAAGATCGAGGTCTTCGTCGTCCAGAGGAACGTGGAGCTCGCCGCCTCTGGAGCGGACCTCTCCCTCGTTCTCACTTGTTGGTGGAGACCAGCCAGCCGTCACGCCGGAGGAGTTCCAGGCACACCTTTCCTCGAGGTTCCGTATGTCTGTAGGCGTGGCCAGGGTCTGTGCTTGGCTTGGGGGGCCTTTGCACGCGTGTGTAAGCTAGACGGCCACTCTGGCGTCGCTATGCAGGGAGGCAAAATGCAGATACAAGCGGTGCGCCCTGAGCCTGAGCTCGTAGTGGACCGTTGCTCGGAGGTTCAGCGTTGGGACTTCGATCCCATGCTGGTTGAGATGGAGGCATGTCTAACCAAAAGGCCACATCAGGCAGGTCCCACGAGCCAGGTCGTGTCGGAGGTGGCCCAGGCGGTGGATCTATGCCTTTCAGGCCCAGACGAGTTTGGCTCAGGCCAAACATCACCAAGGCCCTCGCTCTTGGTGCCGGAGCAGGTTGGGGGATCCCCACCCCCGGTCTAGGTCGACTTCCCCGCCAAATAGGTAGGTGCTTCCCTAAATAGGTAGATGGCAGTCTGCCGACGTGATGGCGTGATTTCGACCAATGACTTCAGTCAGTATTCAAGGAGCCTCTCACGATGCTCGTTTTGTCGCCGCCTCCACGATCGGAGGGCTAACCAAGCGATCGAGCGGGTGGGGGTGATGATTCGGAGCTCGTCCCCAAGTGGAGCGCTAGGCTTGCCGCCAAGAGCAGGCACAGGGAAGAGAAGGAGGCTCAAGCGCGGAAGGTGATGATGAAACGTCTGGGGCTCGAGATGAAGACTAAGCTACCTGACGAAGCCTCCTTTGAGGAATTCCAGACCGCCTTCAAACTTCCCCTGTCGGTGTCGACGACGGAAGCCATGCAGGTCTTCTTTTCGGGCAGGAACCCGCAGGCCTAGATGCTCGCTTTTTTTCTTGCTGATTTGGTCGCAAAACACCTTTTCTATGTAAATTTTTCTAAGTGTATCCAATAGCTAGGTGGTAAGGTGCGTCGTATCACGAATGCTCCTCGCTTGAGTGATCGTGCATGGGTATACTGATAATTATTTTTCTCTTAATGAAAAACGGGTGAACGCCCTGTCGCGAAAAAAATGGTGTCGTGGTGATACTTACTAGTTAGTACTGCTCGAATGTGTTCGCAGTAGCAGAGAAGCAGCTTTGCCTAGACCATGCTGGTACTCCATTGTGTAACCTGCATTTGTTGCCGGCGGCGGGTTGCGTCATGCTCAATGCTCATGGCGGGTACGGTGGGCGACAAGGCGGCGGCGCAGCCGGCAGCCGCGAAGGAAGGCACCGCGGCGCGGCCGCGCGGGCGACGGATTTGTTTCCCTTCCCGGCTTGATTCGCTTTTCCGTCGTTGTTTCCGTGCTGTTGCTTTTCCCTCCGCGCACCGCCGGCAGCTGCTTTTCTCGCGTGGCCAGGGCCCAGGGCACACATCAGGCGGCGTACGGACCACAAGGGTTCATGACCACGGCCCGCCCGGGCCCGGCCTGTTGATCTGATGCCCACTCTGATAGTAGCAGCGGATTTATGTTCCAGGCCCAAATGTGTTTCACGTGTACTTATATAAATAAATATATTCCCCTCAAAAAAAATATAAATAAATATATAGGCCACAATCAGTATGTTGTTTGGCCGTCGGAGTGCATTGCATTTTTTTAAAGAAAAAGGTCCAATTTTTTCCCTATCAACTATCGTAAAAGTCAGCATTTTCTCCCTCGAGAAGCGCTCAAGCTCTCCCTTAGTCCTCGTTGGAGCCCCTTGCAAGGAATCCCTCACAACGGCCAAGCTCCCGGTCGGGTAACTCCATGGAAAGTCTCGGGCCTTCCTCACGCGCAAGTGGGTCTCCGATGTGCCTTCCAACAAACCTCTCCAGGACCGCTCACCGCCATCTTCACTATCAAGCTTCCGGCCAAACCACCACGGGCCTTGTTCCCTTCGGTATACGATGGCGGCCACACCACAAACGCGGTTGGTGTGATCTTGCAAGACTACAAGCCCCTTCAATGTACAACAATGGTGCGCGCAAGCATCTAGTGATAAGAGGTGTGCAAACCTCACTAAACACTAGGACTAAACCTAGAGCAAGCGCATAAGCGGTGGTCTAATCAACCTAAGCAGTTCACAAAGCACCTACGTTAATTACCTAATGAATCACTAAGCACTATGCAAGTGGAGATCACTAAAATGATGTATCAACACCCTTGGTATGTTTTCTCAGCTCTCCACATCCGTTGGCGCTCACCGTTGATCGGACTCTCTGGCGAGTCCGGTCGCTTACCATCTGACGCGTCCGGTCAACGTTTCGCCGCTCTGGAACCTCTCTGGACTCGATCAGCCGCTACTTCTTGATGTGTCCGGTCGTCCTACCGTCGTGTCCGGTGACACTGAGAACGTTGCTGTGACGATGAACAGTGTCACATGTGCGTCCGGTCACTGCTTCGCTCAGCATCCGGTCACCGCGTCGGTCACTGTGGTTGCACGGGCAACGATCGGACGCGTCTGGTGCCTTTGTGGCCGTGTCCGGTCGTCTCTGTCGAGCCCCTTCTTCATTCGTTTCTTCGCGATCCTTGCGTCCGGCTTGGTTCCCATCTTCGTGCATGGACTTTGCTTGATATCTTGGGTCTTCTCTTGTGCTTCTAAGGTCTTGCTTAGGGTGTTGATCGTCGGATCATCATGTCGCCTTCGTCCATGTCACGTCTTGCACCCTATTGAACTACAAAATAATTAATTGCAAATTCATTAGTCCACGTTATTGTGTTGGTCATCAAACACTAAAATCCAAAGTAAATGGACCTAGGGTACATTTTCCTTACAAGTTTGATGTGGCTATCTACACTTTAAATTTTTTTTGCCAGGGGTAAAACAGTCATTTCACCTATCCCTTAACAATGTTTAGTGCCTACACTAATGGAAAGGCCATATAGGTAACTGAATTTAATTTTGGACCTCAGAAGTAAGTTAACATATATAAAAAAAGGACCACGAAAGGAAGCTGGATTTTTTTTTAGCCTCATGGCTAAGTTTCTCAAAATTTATATAGGTTGTTTCCTATTCGTTTTGGACTCCGGTGTCTCGTGGGAAGCAGGCCTGGCCCTGAGGGAATCGAGGACTCCGGCCGCTCGAAGCCCACGAGTCGTAGAGGCCCTCCCAGTCCCAGGTGTTCCTACTTAAATAGGACTGATCCAATTAGAAGCCAGTAGCGTAGGCCGGCACTCTCGTTTTAATTTAAAATCTCCGTTTATCACATTATTATGGGCCCCCATCAGGCTAGTTGCAGATGCAAAGATAGCCTGACTCGGTTATTTGTCACTCCAGCTGCGGTTTCGATTCCAGTGATAAGAAACGTAGCTGTCACAGCCCATCTCGCTGGAGGCCCAAACAAGAACACCTACGACGGCCCACCGTGGACTGGGCAGACGAACACGATTCCTTACACTAACAGTGCACGCGCATGCGAACGGGACCAGAGACGACGGACGGCAGCCAGCGGTGGCGTCGGACCCGCCCGGCCGGACAGCGCAGCGGTGTGTCCACGCCGGAGGAGATGGAGACACAGAGAGAGAGAGAGAGAGAGAGAAAGCGCGTCGATCTCCCTGTCAGTTCTCACGTGAGGGCCGTGCGGGCCCACGTGCCGCTGTCGGCAGTAGTACGGCGGGGTTGGGAGCCAAAGTCAACTGCATCTTGCCAGTGCCACCGCGGCACAGCTGGCCCTGCCTCTGCTGCGCGCACGGAGGCCGGAGCGTCTTGCATGGCCGCCGCCAGCGACCGTCCAGAAACCTTCCCATTTTCTTTTTCCTTTTTTGGTTGGAAAAAAGGGGGATTGTGTCGTCGACCTGTGGGTCCATGATC